ATGCTCATCAAGTATGAAAGGGATGATGGCTCTGTCGGTTCTTTGAATGGGGATCAGAAGACGGCCCGAGAGTGCTATCTCTCAGCCGTCCGAGATACCGTGGCCCCAGGCGGTCAGGAACCAATAGACCTTGACAACGTCAAGGATGCCGACCCAGCTCCTGCCTCATCAGCAGCCGGAAAGAAAAGAAAGGCTCCTCTGCTGGTGGAGGTGAAAAAAGAGAAAAAATAGCAATCACTGACCGGTGAACGATCAGATGAGCTCCGTCCCCAACCGGCTGGCGAAAGCATTGATCTCGTTCTGGAAGACAGCCGTCCAGAACGCATTGTTAAGGTTGGGACGGTTGCTCATGCTACCTTGGGTGCAAGCTTGCACCTTCTGCTGAAAGAATTCAAAGACATTTTTGCCTTTGAAGTGGAAGAGATGCCAGGCGTCAGCCCGGATCTTGCTGTCCACAAACTCCCCGTGGACCTCAAAAAGAAGCCCATCCGGCAAAGGAAAAGAAACCACGGCGAGGAAAGAAGTCAGGCGGCAGCTGCCGAAGTCAAAAAGCTGCTAGACGCCAGGTTCATTCGGCCTTGTAATTTCCCCGACTGGGTGGCCAATGTGGTCCTTGTGAAGAAACCGAATGGGACCTGGCGCATGTGTGTTGATTACACAAACCTCAACAAGGCGTGTCCAAAGGACAGTTATCCGCTTCCAAAGATCGACAGTCTGGTCGATTCTACAGCCGGTCACGCCTTGATGAGCTTTATGGATGCCTACTCTGGCTTCCATCAGATACCCCTGAGGAAGAAAGATCAAGAGAAGACGACCTTCGTCACTGATCAGGGGCTATTCTGTTAAACTGTGATGCCGTTTGGCTTGAAAAATGCGTCTGCCATTTTCCAACGGATGATTAATACGGTCTTTGTTAATCAGATTGGGAGGAATGTGGAGGCGTACATTGATGACATGATAGTCAAATCCAAGCTACAGACGGATCACCTTGATGATCTCCGAGAAACATTCACCACCCTCAGGCGGCATAAGGTTATGTTAAATCCTAAGAAATGCGTCTTTGGTGTTGAGTCTGGGAAGTTTCTCGGATTCTTGATTGATCAAAGGGGGATAGAGGCTAACCCCGAAAAGATACAGGCGGTGATTGACATGAAGTCATCCCGCTCTGTTAAGGAAGTTCAGAGACTCACCGGTTGTCTGGCCGCCCTGGGGAGGTTCCTCAGCCGGTCAGGTGACAAATGCATCTACTTCTTCCAAGCAATCAGGAAGAAGACCAGATTTGAGTGGGGGGATGATGCTGAGGCGGCGTTCCAGAGGTTGAAAGAGCATTTACATTCTCTGCCTAGGTTTGTCAGTCTTTTGCATAGGGAGACGTTGTACATGTATTTAGCCGTCTCAGACCATGCCCTCTGTGTCGTTCTCCTTGCTGAGCGAGGCGGCGTGCAGCTCCCGGTTTACTTCATTAGCCATGTTCTTAAAAATGTTGAACTCCGGTACCCCATGGTTGAAAAATTTGTCCTTTCTTTGTATATGGAATTCAAAAAATTGAAGCCTTACTTTTTGGCACATCCGGTGGTGATTTACACGGACACCAGCCACTCAAGCGGCCAATGTCTACCTTGGACTCATCCGGGAAAATGTTGAAATGGGCTATTGAAATGCAGAGCCTTGAAATCACTTACAAACCAAGAAAAGCAGTGAAAGGTCAGGCGTTTTCCGACTTCATTGTGGAAATGACTCGTCCGGTGGCTCCGGATAATCTTGACCAGGTTAAGAAAGTGTACGTAGACGAGAGCTCTACAAAGAACGGCTGTGGTGCAGGCTTAATTTATGAGTCTCCTGAAGGAGATAGATTTGAATATGCACTACGCTTCAAGTTTCAGGCCTCTAACAATGAGGCAGAATATGAAGCCCTGCTAGCCGACATACGCATGTGTAAGGCGGCTGGGGCCACGAAAATTGACGTCTACTCTTATTCTCAATTGGTTGTTAGCCAGTATGAGGGAAGTTATGAGGCTACCCATCCGGCTATGATTAAATATCTTCAGGCAGTCAAAGAAGAGACCAAGGCACTTGAGGAATTCCGGCTGAATCAGGTGCCTAGATCGGAAAACAACCAGGTGGATGCATTGTCAAAGCTGGCATCTTCCGCCTGCCATGATACGCCTCGGTCAGTCTTCTGAGAAGTTCTTGAAAAGAGAAGCATCTATGAGGATCCCGTTGGAATTCTGGACCAAAGCTCTACCTGGATGGATGGCATCCGGGCCTATCTCTCAGACGACACACTTCATTATTCGCCACAGGAAGCAGCCGTCCTGAAAAAGCGAGCTGCAAGATTCGATTTGGAAAATGGAGAACTCTTCAAGGCGGGGTTTCTGAAGCCTTTGTTGAAGTGTGTCACCCCAGAAAAGGGGAAAAAAGTTATCGAAGACTTGCACTCGGGATTCTGCGCCTCTCACATAGGCGGCAGGTCCCTAGCCGTCAGAGCAAGACGACATTACTTTTGGCCCACTCTTGAGGCGGACGCCAAGGAGTTGGTGAAGAAATGTGACAAGTGCCAAAAATTTGGCAAACTCATTCACCGTCTGGCTACTGATTTGACGGCCATCCACAGCCCAATCCCGTTTGCAAAATGAGGCATGGACATTCTAGGTCCTTACATGCCTGCTCCAGGCAGAAAGCGCTATATCTTAGTGGTTGTGGATTACTTCCCCAAGTGGGTTGAGGCTGAGGCGGTTAAAAACATCAAGACCTCAGACGTAATTTCCTTCATCTGGAGGAAAATTATCACCCGGTACGGGGGTACCCATGTCTATGGTTTTTGATAATGGTCCTCAGTTTGAGACGCTTCAGCTAAAAACTTGGTTGGGAGATCAGGGGATCTCAAGCTATTTCGCATCTGTTGGTCGGCCCCAAGCAAACGGCCAAGTTGAAGCTTTCAAAAAAATCATCTCAGACGGCATTAAAAAGAAAATAGAAAGAGCTGGTGGCTTATGGGCAGAAGAATTAATCCATGTCTTGTGGGCCATCCGGACAACAGCGAAAGGAGCAACTGGTGAAACCCCATTTCTCATGGTTTACGGTGCTGAAGCCGTCTTGCCCATCGAACATTACGAGCCGACTCTCACAGTCATGTTGTATGATGAAGAGGAAAACTGGGAAGCAATGTGCCTGGCATTGGATTCACTCCCAAAACGCAGGGGTAATGCCGCCTTGCGTCATGAGATTTACCGTTTGAGAATGACGAGAGCCTACAACAAAAAAGTACACAAGCGTCCCTTGAAAGTTGACGACTTAGTGTTACAAAAAATGGAGGCAACCGGTAGGGCCAATGAGCTGGGAAAGCTAACCCAAAATTGGGAAGGCCCCTACCGGATCTATGAAAAAGTAAGGGACGGCACCTATCGCCGGGAAACTCCAGACGACAGGCGCCTGCCTAGAACTTGGAATGTAGACATTCTAAAAAAGTACTACTTCTGAGAATGTAAACTTTTTGTAAACAGTGAGTCAGTTAAAGAAGATTAAGACTTTGTTTGAAAATTCTCGTTTGATTATCCATCCGGGTAATATCAAGGCAGATTCCTCATTTACCTAACTAAGTTCGATACTTAGTGAAGGTTTCATTTGTTAGTCCGCCTAGGTAATACTCGGATCTCTTGTTTATTAAAGTTTGATACTTTGTTTATTCAACTGCTTGACTATCCGCCTGGGTAATACTCAGACGGATTTCCATTTATCTAACTAAGTTTCATACTTAGTATGATCAAATATTTGTCTGTCCGTCTGGATATTACCCTGACAGACACGTATGCTTAAAAAACTAAGTTCGATACTTAGTGTAAATTCAACACTGATTAAGAAACTAAGCAAAAAAACGTTTAGTGGCTACACAACCGGTCTCAAACAGGACCAGAGGCTAAAATGGCCGGATGGTTGCTATTTTTATAAAATCACCTGTCCCAACATGGACAAAGGCGTCCGGCGACACCCCTCCGGGTGCAATCATCACAGAGAACAGATTATCTGTCGGTTCTATGTATCCATGCAGACGGAAAAAATTGAAAGACCAAATTGGTCAACTCATAGCCGTCTGACTAAAAATAACCTACGAAGAACGAATAAGTTCCTAAATATCGGATGCCCATAGGCATCAGTCGGTAACCGGCTGAAGTTCTCACTTAGGTTATTTATTTTAAAATTGCACCTCACCCCAATTGGGGCAAGAGTTCAATGGTTATGAAATCTCTACCAAGACGGGCATAAGTCGTCTGTGTAGTGACCGAAACGCCTGTTGGTGTACGGCTGTGCACTTGGTTTGGGGCAATCACTACTGTTATTGATTGACTTACAAACATATCATGCTCTTTGCAGCATCAGACGTTTTCAAGTCAATCAACCAGCTCTAATTGAAACCAATCACACAGCCGTCCAGGGGCATGGACAGCCGGACTACTGATTAGTTAGGCAAGAAATCGCCGCATGCATTTGATAAGTTAGGCAAAAATTAAAACAAAAATTCAAATGCAAAATGATCAAAATCGACTTAGTCGGTGCAATTCATAAAAGTCCATCCAACCAAACGGTTGTAATGGATCAAATGTTAACCGGACCCCGTCCGGGAGAAATAAATTGTTAATTAACCCGGCTCAATAGCCGGTAAAAACACAAACACTCGGCACGCAGGCCAAAAAAAGCAAGTTTTGGCATATAACCGCTGAAAAAAAATTAAAAAAAGCAAAGACTGGCATACTGCCGCTGAGGGGTCACTTCTGGCCTGCAGACGGAGCCTCCTGGTTCCCCCCCTTCTCCTCATCATCTGAGGGAATTTGATGCGCTTCGTCAGGACCAGGAAGCTCAGGCGCGGTTGGCTCATTGTTGCTGAGCAAGGCTTCTAAGGAGGCAGGCTCTGGCTCACCTTGCTCTCTCAAGTACACAACGTACTCGGCATAGCTGTGTGCCATTGCCCAGATGCTATAATCAGCGTCTGGGTACAAGGCAGCCTAAGCAATTTTCATACGGGCGTCGTTGTCAACATCACTCTTAGCAACAAGGCGGTTTTGCTCCGCCTCCAGGGTTGCTGCAACGTTTTTCTGAGCTTGAGCAGCATTCTTCTCCAGCCTCTCAACCTTGGATTTCAGTTTGCCAAGGTCCGCCTGGGTCTTCTTGAGCGTCTCTTCAGCCTGTTTGGCGCTCTTGTCTGCATTCTTCTGAGCCTCCTCCGCTCCCTTCTTGGCCGTCTCAGCATCCGTTACCCGCTGGTCGGCCGCCTTCAGATCTAGCTCCAGCTGCTAGATTGTAGACGCCCGTGTCATAATTATTGCTTTAGTTTTAAGTTCATTTACGATAGTTGAGTGTAAAGCAATATTATCAGCGTCTATGGCGGACTTTTTGGCCCTTTTTACCTCTTCCCGTTTGCGAGAATAAGGACGTTTAAGCCCGTCCACCCGCAGCATGGCCTGCAAAAAGCAGGCGGTATAAGAATTACAGGCGGGATAATTACTTGGAAAAAATAACATTGAATTGACAAGTTTCTTACCTCAGCCAGAAGGGATAGAATGCGTTCAAGATTGAACATCTCTATCCCAGGGATATTGTCCTTATCCCTCTTCCAGACGGCATCCAGCATGGCCTTGGCGTGCTTCTGGACGTCTGGCCAGCGGGGAGATTGATCTGCACCATAATCAATATGTGATGAGTGCGAAACTAAGGCAGCACCTATCTGTTGCCGACCGTCTGAGGATGACGTATGTTGGGAGTGGGATTTAACCCGTAAAGGCCACCCCAGCTCAAGCGGGAATTCAAAAGGGTTCTTACCTTCAGAGCCGGCCCAGCGGGAACCGCTTGCAGGCGTGGTGAACCCCGCAGCTGCTGATAAGGGGTTGACAAGATCAAGGCACACGCTGCTGCCTACCTTCTCGAGTCGCCCCGATATCCGCATCGTCTTACCCCCGGCTGAGGCACCAGGAGTTGACGCAGAGGAAGACTTTTTTATTTTATTGAGAACGGCTAGGGCCTCCTCTCTAGCCCGTTTGAGATTCTTCTCAAACGATTTCCCAACTTCTCCCCCCTGTGAAAAAAAAAACAAGTAAAGTTTAGTATCCGGGCAAGACAGTTTATAAAATAAACTTAAGAAAGGGTCAGGCGCTCAATACCTTGGCCCTGTGCTCGGCCGCAGCTTTCTCCGCAAGATCTTTGCGGATGGTCGCAGAAGACCGCTTGGGAGTTTTCTCCAACTGCAACATGTTTAGCGCTTCTTGTGCAAAAAGAGAAATTGATCAGAATCATAAATCAATTCCGATAGAAAAATACTACATACAGTGTGAACCCAGACGCATACGTTTATCAAACATGTGCCCTAGCCCGCAAGCAGCTAGGAAACATTCATCCTTGAACCAGGCGCTCTTGGGAATCCAATTCTTAGGGACTTTTATTGTTTCCCCGGTTGACAAAGTTGCGTCTGTGAGGCCGAAAAAGTCTGCCTCGATTATTTTGTCAAAGTCTTCCTCTAGGATCCGGGGAAGAGCGCACTTCCATCCCAACAAGTCGGATTTCTTATTGTACAGACGAAATTCATAATTTTCCCGTCTGGTCGGGGCTGACATCAGGTAGAACCTGTGCTTCCAGCCATCGAACTTGGAGACCTTGTCCAAGGTCATCATGTATTGCGGCTGTGTGGTTAGAGTATACCACGCCCTCCAGCCGCCTGGGCTTCTGCTGAGGTAATGCATGCTTGCAAAGGCCTCCCAGCCGGGGTTAAGCCCTTGGAACTCGCAGGCGGCAACATACCCCAGAATGTTGGTCCAGGAGTTGGGGGTAAGTTGCCAGACCCCAAGGTCGTAGCCTCTCAAAATTGCCTTCACCGCCTGGTGAAGGGGGAAGCGAAGGCCGACTTTGAACGCCGCCTCATAACAGCAAAAATAGCTGTTGACGTTCTCTTGATCATCCCCCCAAGCGACGGTGCCCAGCTCAGGCGGCACCCGGATCTTATACCCGTCTCCAAGCGGGTGCATTTTCTTAAAGTTCTCCAAGTTCTCCCCCATCTGGATTCGGTCCTTGGAGGAGGCGTGGATGCTGAAGGGATTGTCCTTCTCACTCCTCTTTTTCCTTTCTTCCTCCTCGCTATCCGGAATAGGGGGCAAGTCATCGCTACTCTCGGTGGTAGAAGCGGAGCTGTCGCTCTCTATCTCCCCCTCGCTTTGGTCCATGGGGGCAGAGGCGGCCTCGTAGCCGCCTTGGTCACACTCTTCTAAAAAAGAGTCTGCAGGGGTTGAAGGGGCGCGCGGAGGGGATCTCTCAAGATCTGTCTGGTTTCCCTGACCAGACGTTTCTCCCTCAGGCGTTTGGCCGCCTGAGCCTTCGCTCTTGTAATTCGGGTCTGTGGCCATCTGCATTATCCGAGCCATGGTGTCCTGCACAGACACATAACTGGTCGGAATCCATGGCAAAGGGTGGTCCCAACACCCCGAGCCGGCACTCCCAGTCCTAGACTCAGCCGACCCTGGTGACCGGCTGGAATCTAACCTAGGTTGTGCCGTGTGTGTTGGTGATGCATCCATTTATTGCAAGAAATATGTACAAGCGGTGCAAAGAGAAAAGAGCTGAGAGAGACAGAGACGGTACCTTTTGATTTGGTATCTGAACGTAGACGGGACCGGCTGTATTGCTGAAGAACAAACTTTCTTGCGTGCGTCTGCCTCAAACAATTGACTTCTGCTCTCTCAGAGTTTTTCTCTCTAGGTAATTTTTGTAAACGTACAAAATTATGAGGGTAAAACAGCTATATATATAGGGTAAATTTGGGGGCATTTCCGTAATTTACCCGGAAGGTGAACGGTTACTCTGTAACGGTAAAATTACCGCCAGCCGGAGCATGACATGTGTCACATATGCCACGTGGCGTGCCACGTCACATCTGTGAGGGGCAAATGTTTAGGGTAATTTTACCCTGCCACGTGGCCCAATCAGAAGGTGACACGTGTCATCCCCAGATTGGTCTAAAATGGACCAATCCCTGCTCGACACGTATCATTCCTGAAATCAAGGGAAATGGCGGCCTTCAGGCCCAAATCCCGAGAATGCCGCCAAACGGCGCAGCCCACCAATGATTAGGGTTTAGTAACCTAATCAGGGGAACAATTCCAAAAGACCCTATAAATAGGGAGATGTCCCTCATTTTGAGAGCACGTTTTGATCAATTATTACACATTTTACTCTTTGATAGAGACATCCTGAGCTTGGAATCCGAGCAGATCCCTACCTAAATTTCCGCACCTTTTTTCTCCCTTTAAGTTTCTAACTTGTGCGTCGGAGGCGGAGCACCACCCAACTGGTGCCTCCGTTTGTTTTGCAGGTACAACTCACCCTGGATCAGTCTTCGTGTTGTAACTCTCCCAAGGGATAAAAACACCCAAAACAAAGCTCATTTTCCACCAATACACTAGTGTTAGATAAGCATTCTATCCCTTTACTCTTTTATCTGTAGAACTAATATTTTTCTGCAGGTATCGGCGTATACAGAGTGATTGAGGATCGCAGAACGTCTTAAATCATTCCCCGTCCCTATCGACTACTTTGACTATCGTTTTTGAAACTGACGTTTCTACAAACTTAGTCAAAGTTGGGGCTTCTATAGACACCTAAAAATGTCTCCCCAAAACCAAACCCGTTGATGAACATCTTTCACCGCCATTATTTGTCGGATTAAGTATTTAATCTTTGGAATGCTTAAATCCAAGTTCTATCCAATATATTTCATGAACCAATCCAATGTCTAGCTCATTTCCCTAAACCATAACTTATTTTCCTTTTTTCATGTCCACATCGCAAAACCGAGCTGAAATTATTTTATGGACATATAATTTTGATCCAATTATTATTTTGTTAAATAGGCCTTGAAATAAGCTTTCCAACCATATATCATAAGCCCAATTCCGAACTATAACCGGTAGGGCCAATGAACTTGGAAAGCTGACTCCAAATTGGGAAGGCCCCTACCGGATCTAAGAGAAAGTTAGAAACGACACCTACCGCCTGGAAACCCCAGACGGCAGGAGCCTGCCTAGGACTTGGAATCTAGACAATTTGAAAATGTACTACTTCTGAGTTGTAAAATTTTGTAAGAAAAAAGTTTATTAATGACAAATCGCTTTTTGTTTTCAATTTTCTTTCCCCTTTTTCAAGCTTTGAGGCCGTCTGCGAAATTAACAGACAGCCCAATTGTTGAAATCTCTAAGTTTGAAACTTAATAGAAAATTCAACGTTCATTTTACATGAGGCAACTGGGCAGATAACTAAACTAGGCACACAACCGCTTAGTGGCTATACAGCCAGTCTCTACCTAGACAAAAGGCCCATGGCCGGATGGCTGTTTGTTTTATAAAATCACCTGTCCCAACACGGATAAAGGCGTCCGGCGACACCCCTTCGGGTGCGATCGTCGCAGAGGGAAGCCTACCTGTTTGCTCTACGTACTTATGCAGACGACAAAGATTGAACGACCGAATTGGTCAACTCATAGTCGTCTGGCCAGAAATGTTAAAAGAATGAAAGTTTTCAAAATACCGAATGTCCCCAGACATCAGCCGGTTACCAACCGAAGATCCTAAGCTTTTCATTCCAAAGTGGCACCAACACCCCCCCCACCAGGGCATGAAGGGTTGTGCAATGAGTAATAAGGCGGCCGGTAACACGCCTCGGGTGCAATCATCACAAGCACAACCAAAAAGTGCACCTATACATATAGGCGGCATGGTTCAACTCATTATCGCCTGACCTAGGTAATTTAAACTACCCTTCAAAATTATACGTTTTCCCAAGGCTGGAAAGCATAATTGGATTCCAAACCCCTCAGGCGGCCCTTCGCCTTTTGTCTGATACCCAGACGACCTTTTTCCGTCTGATCCTCAGCGCTTGAGGGGCTGATCGGCCTTTTTCCTGGAACGCCTGTCATATGAGCGGTTGTGTTCTTGGTTTAGGGCAATCACTATTGTGATTTATTGACTTGCAAACATATATTGCTCTTTAAAGCATCAGACGTTTCCAAGCCAATCAATCGATTTAAAGGTGAAACCAACCACACAGCCGCCCAGGGGCAAGAGCAGTCGAATTATCAGTTGTCGCATGCTTTTCATAAGTTAGGAAAAAGCAAAAAAAAATCAAGCATACTTGCAAAAATTAAAAATGCAAAATTCAAGAGCAAAGTGATCAAAACCGACTCAGTCGGCGCATTCATTAAAAGACTACCCAACCAAACGATTATGGTAGAACATTGTTAACCGGACACCGTCCGGGAAAGTGATGCAAATTGTTAATTTACCCGGCTCCTTAGCCGGTAAAAACAACATATACTCGGCTCGTAGGCCGGAAAGAAAGTAATCTGGCATACAGCCGCTGAAAAAGAAAAAATAAAAATGGCATACTGCCGCAGAAATTCATTGTTGAGCTGCAGACGGGTCCATCTTGTCATCGCCCCCTTCATCTTCTTCATCTTCCTCGTCAAAAGGAATCTCATGCGCTTGACTCGGGACGGGGTGACCAGATTCCAGAAGCTCAGCGTGAGCCCAGGCTTCAAACGACTTTGGCTCTAGCTCGCCTTTCTCCCAAAAAAATACAACCTCTTCGGCGTATTTGTGATCCAGTGCCCAGACGCCATACTCCTTGTTTGGATACAAGGAGTTCCAGGCAATCTTCATCCGGGCGTCGTTGTCAACCTCACTCTTGGCAACCAGGCGCTCTTGTTCCGCCTCCAGGGTTGCCTTAAAGTTCAGCTACACCTGGGCCGCCGCCTCCTCCAGCTCCTTGACCTTGGCCTTGAGGTCGTTGTTCTCTTAAGAGACCCCCTTGAGAGAGTCCAGCTCCGTCTTAACCTTGTCAAGCTCCTCTTGAGCTTTTTTGAGCGCCATCTCAGCATCGCTGGCTTTCTACATGAACGCCTCCAGGTCCTTCTCGAGCTGCTCAATCTTCGACGCTTGCATCATTACTGTGGCTTTAGTTTCAACTTCATTTATTGTACAAGAGTATAGAGCAACGTTTTCAGCGTCTCTGGTTGATTTGTTGGCTCTCTTTACCTCTTCTTGCTTGCGGAAGTATGGACGTTTGAGACCGTTTACCCGCAAAAGAGCCTGCATAGAAGGAATCAGGTTAGATCTGCAGGCGGAATAATACTTGAAGTTTATTTCCTTCACTTTATTTACACCTCACCTCAGCCAAAAGGGATAGAATGTGTTCCAGATTGAACGTCTCT